ATGTCAACTGAAATTCTGAAATACGCTTTCAGATGGAAAAAAACTACTGAAGTGCCCGCAGTGCCGCATGGCCAAAAAGAGATAAAAGGACACAACTAGAAAGCGTATTACCTGACGTAAGCAAACCACCAATCCACGGAGTTCGTGGGTAATGTCCGTAGGTTCGAAACACGTGCTATGGCTGCTGTCATTGATGTCAATTCAAAATTATTGAGCTCAGCTGGCACCCTAAGGTGTCAACAGACTTTGAGTAACACAGCCGACGCCAAATTAATAAAACAAAACATACCTACTGCTACGGTATATGCAGGCGGTTATATAAAGTAAACAAGAGCGTGGTGACCCCTATAATATATTGTTACCGTACGCTACGCTGGGCGCGATTACTATTCTGTCCCCGTTGAACAACCTGGTGTCTACACAGTACCCTTAAACAACCCAAATACGCTGCTAAACCTAAATTCTCCCCGTTCTCGGCTAGTGTGCGCTCAAACTAGCAATCGGTAGAAGAAAACTAGTGTTTTACAGCCGTTGGCTAACTGGAGGTGCATTGTATTTGAAACAATCGAAAAAAAATATCCAGCCAAAAGGTTTTTTGCGTAGTCCTATGGGTACATTCCGAAAGGGTTCAGATTTTTACACGAATAATATAATCTAAGAAATAATGCATCAAGAAAAGATAGAGTTTTTAGAAGTTTAAAGGCAATAGTGGCATTTGGCCGGTTCGGATGAAAAACCAAGCACGTCTCCGAAACATCGGTTCGATATTTTGATAAATCTCAGAGCATTAAATGCTTACGTAGTCTATGAAGGTGACATTTAATTGCGGTGACTTGACCGCCATCACACAATGAAGTCAGACGTAAGGTCGGACCTATGTAGAGAGTGTTGCAGGAAGGGCCAGAAAACATAACACACTTGGTCGAGTAGGTTCGAGACCAATTAAAACAAGGCTGAAGTAATGTTAAGTTAATAAATAACGAAAATGGGAACCTGTGATTGAGTGGATTTCGGCTGGTCAGGAAGACGTTCATATTCATATCGTTAGCTGAACCTGAATCACGCACGACACCCAACTAAGACCACTGGTATTGATTGCCGCAATAAACACCCATACCCTTTGTAAATATACTGTATGGTCAGTCCCCTTGAAAATATTAATTTTCAAGGGCTACTTTCCCACTCGTAAAATACTTGCTACTGCTTCTTTTAAAAAGACAAATAAACCACTAAAATGCTTACAGAAAGTTTGATTCTAGGAAAAAAGGAGCAATTACCTGTCCGGCCTTCGGTGATCTGCCCTTGCCGTGAACCAGGGAGTAATCGATATCGCACCCGGCTCCGTAAGCGCCCCAGACTGAAGTCGCTAGCACCATGCCTCCAGTGCCCAAAAAGGGGTCCCACACCAGGTCTCCACGGCTGGCGAGGCAGGCGTTTGCAATTATACCGGCCAGTCGTACGTCCATAGTCGTATTTCCCAGGTAGGTGCGTTTGGAGAGATCAAACTTGCTCATAAGCCGACGGCGAGAACTCTCGCCTACTAGGCGGCCATAATAGACCTGCTTTAACTTCTGATCCTTTTGATTGGTTAGAGAGCGCGTGTAATCGAAAAGGAGGTAGAGCTCGTACTAAAAAAGGAGGGAAGGACCGTCATTTTCGGGTTACGAATGCTTATAAATAACCACAACATTTTACGTTGTGACGAAACGAATGCTAGAGACGCATGAATCCCGAACCCACAAATGGTGACAGGAAGCTAGCGTAAAGATTGCAACGTCTGTTGTGCAGTCCCCCGCCGTGAGACTGTTTAAGAGGCTTCTGAATAATCGAAA